TCCTAATATTACTCATGAAATAAAAGTTACACATGAAAGCCCCATTTTCACATACTTAAAGCTTTGCTCTACTTTATTTTTCCACTGGGGCTGTCCTTCACAATTAATAATCCAAAAAGGATTATGATTTTCCCATTGAAGAAAACCATTGTCTTATACTAGCTTATAAAAGGAAGGAAAAGGAATGTTTGCCCCAGTTTTCAAATTATCTATGTCCTGCAAGTTTTCTATTTTAAATAAGGAAGTGACACAAGCATCATGTATTATCACCCATTGCTCTGTTAATCACTCCCATTTCCAACTTTCTCACAGAAAAAGACGTGCCACCTCAAACAGACCTTCCTATGAGTGCATTGGACAGAAGTCTGGCTATTTATTGGCACACCTTCATCTCCATTATCAGATTTCTTTGTGTATAAGTAACCTGCTGGATTTGTGCTATCGCATAGCCATGTCCATTTAGCTAGACCTACTACTTATTTCATATAATACTGAAGCTAAACTTGGTCAATTCCCCAGAATAGGTTCTATCTGAGCTTAAGGTTTCTCCCCAGCTTTCTTTGAGGGGAACGCATATTCACACGGCATCCATTTGTGGGCCAATATAAACCAAAGATTGCAGTTCAAGACAAGAAAGTGTATATGTATGAATGAGAACCAACTGAAGGCAATTATTTCTATCGTTTGTTAATCACCCAACACAGGAGAGTTTCTAGATAAGTTTACAACTGACTGGCTGACCCCTGTGAAATTCCGTGTTGGAACAACCTCCCCCAAGCACCATCTTCCATAGGTGACCATTCAAGCAGGAACAGAAGTACTGAAAAGCAGTGCCTCCAACTCACCCTCCCAAAATGTGATAGCTGGTGGCATTAAAAGCTGATGAGTGATTAAGGAGAATCAACAGAGAAACAGCATTCCCCCCCCCCCAATGTACAGAGCATCCAAAGCTATTTCTGTGTCCAATCAGTGCCTCAACCCCGTAATGGATCCAGTATATCAGTTTCATCCAAAAGTGCCTGGGTCACCAGCTACTCAAGGCTATTGCCCATGAAGGAGATATTTGCTACTACTAATTGTTAAGACCTTCTGGGTTAGGAGTAGGTTTCTTTGGGAGTGTTGTTACCACCTCTTGTAAAAGAATTAACCACTAACCAGCAGTCCCTCCTTCCCTGCCAGCTCTTATAAGCCAAAAGGGACTTGGGTCCTTTTCTTCTTCTTTGGCGATCACTCATAGCTGAGTAAGATTGTCTTCCATAAACACAGTTTTGACAGTGAGTCCATAAGTGACTGTGGAGGCCAATTCTGGATCCACACATCCTTCCACAGTGGGGACATAGGTTTCCAGATGAGAGTTGATCGTGGTGAGGGTTTGCCAAATGTGCCTTCCTCTTAGCACGTTTCTCCTTTTCGTCCTGAGTTCGAGCGTCTTCAAAGTCCATGATATCTTTGGTAAAGGCTGTTCTCCAGTTGGAGCGCTCACAGGCCAGTGTTTCCCAGTTGTCTGTGTTTATACTACATTTTTAAAGATTTGCCTTGAGAGAGTCTTTAAACCTCTTTTGTTGACCACCAGCATTACACTTTTCATTTTTAAGTTCGGAATAGAGTAGTTGCTTTGGAAGACAATAATCAGGCATCCAAACAACATGACCAGTCCAACGAAGCTGATGTTGAAGAATCATTACTTTGACACTGGTGGTTGCACAGACCTGACTAGACACCTTGTCCACATCCTTCAACCGCATCAGCTGAAACCCATTCAACAAAACTGGACAAGACTGCACTCCGGACACCCAATTTGATTTGTTAAGTTACAGTCATAAGACCAACTGAAAGGGTCTAAAGTGCTAGGTGCCTCATTGGTACACACCACTTTTAAATACTTTGGAGTATATGTTACTAGGAACACTAACAAATAGTTTATAACCAACTATGGCCAAGTGTGGGCAAATGGTTTGAAAGACCTGTCATGTTGGAACTGCTTGATTTTCTTCTCCCTGTCTGAAAGAATTGCCCTGACAAAAATGATAGTTAGCAAACCTAACCTTTTTAAAGTTCTTCTCACAGAAATTCCTACCACTGTTTCAAATTCTGGCAAGCTAGACTGGAAAGTTTTGTGTTTTCCTATAGAAGGTCATAGACCTCCAAGGTTCTAAGGTATAGAAAACTGCAGGATGGAGATTGGGGAATTCTCTTATTGAAATTATTCTATGAAGCTTACCAACTTTGGCATCTGCTATCCTGTATTAATCACTCAAGAGACAGACAATAGGTACAGACAGAGCATTCTTTATTGCAACAATCCAACCCACAACGCAGTCAATTAATCAAAAAAGAAATTGACAGTAGTTTAAAAGTGCGGGACAATAGACCGAAAACAATTTTGAAGGCCAGGAAGCATAGAAAGGAAACCTTAATGTTGAGTAACCTCCCTGTTATTCCTGATATATGAACATCACAATTCTATTCAAAGGACATACCGTAACAATAAAAGAAAACCATTTGGACAAGCCTCAAGACTTTTATATAAATGCTAAACCAATTCCCAGGGATGCTGACTGGACTGATGTGGTAGCAAAAGTCAGCAAATTTATCTGACAAAAGCATATTCTTCAACAAGGCACTAGGGATTTCACACCATTTGAAAACGTATGTCTCAATCTAGGTGAACAAGAGAAGGGGTTAATATCTACTTTGCGCAGTCTGTTAGATAAACTGGACACAGGATTTTAAAATACCTTTAAACGGTTGTGGGAATTAGATTGGAAGCCAGCTGGGTATCTCAGATGAATGTTCGGTTCCTATGTGGGGTAAAATGCCTTACAAAACCACTTTGGCTAAAAGAAATGCTTTTGAAAATAATACAAAAATGGTACCTAACACTGGTGAAAATTGCAAGAATGGGTAAGTCTCACCTAGGGAAGATGCAGGATTTAATAGCTCATAAACACATATGTAAGGGACTCTGGTGGCGCTGTGGGTTAAACCACAGAGCCTAGGACTTGCCGATCAGAAGGTTGGCGGTTCAAATCCCTGTGATGGGGTGAGCTCCCGTTGCTCGATCTCTGCTCCTGCCAACCTAGCAGTTCAAAAGCACGTTAAAGTGCAAGTAAATCAATAGGTACCACTCCAGTGGGAAGTTAAACGGTGTTTCCATGCGCTGCTCTGGTTCGCCAGAAGTGGCTTAGTCATGCTGGCCACATGACCCGGAAGCTGTATGCTGGCTCCCTCGGCCAATAAAGCAAGATGAGCGCCGCAACCCCAGAGTCGGCCACGACTGGACCTAATGATCAGGGGTCTCTTTACCTTTTAACACATATGGAGTGGGATTGCCATAGGGTGGCAAGATTTTGGACAGAAGTATTTCAGGACGTTGCTAAAATTCTGGGAAAACCTGTAAATGCACGTGCACCCCCCCCCCCCCGAAACAGCTTTGCTAAATATATTTGATGGAGATGATCAATATTTATTGTATGAACACTTAACTGGCTATTTACTAACAGCATTGGGGATAGTGGCTGCTAGAGGTTGAAAGAATGCCATGAGTCCATTTCAGTGGAGATAATCCCTTCTCAAACTTTCATGCCTTTCATATTAGGTGAATTGTGGTGAGGGGTGGCTATGTTTTGGTTGGGCCTATTGTGAATTCTTGTCTTTCTGTTTATATATGTAAAATTTAATAATAATTTAAAAAAGGAGGGGGGGAAAAGAACCAGGACAGTGAAAGACAAAAGTGAAATTTAATGAAATATGGCAAGAACATTGGCCCAGAAAACGTGACAGAAGAAAGGTCACATTTAAAGTGTATGACCAAAGCTGTCCCACACAGCCATACATTTAAAGCATATTCACTGCACATTTAAACCGCATGACTCCCCACCCCAAATCCTGGGAACCATAGTTTCTCCATTTCGGAACTACAATTCCCAGCGCCCTTAACAAATTATAGTTCTCAGGATTCTTTGGGGTGTGCTTTAAATGTGTGTTGAATGTTATGGCGTGGTTCTGCCACCGCTTAGAGATTTCCTTATAACCAAGCATTATATAAATTTTGTTTAACAACAACAACTGTTCTGTCTAGCTAAAGCAAAATTTGGCTGACAGCGATTATGGGGTGGGGGGAATGGTAGCTGGTTTTGACCTATAAATCCTTAAACAGCTCATGACCGCAATACCTCAAGGAGCACCTCTTTCCATAGGAACCTGCCTGGTCCCTGAGATCATCTTCTGAGGCCCTCCTTCGTGTTCCTCCTCCTCGAGAGGTCCAGAGGGTGGCAACATGAGAACGGGGCCTTCTCGGCAGTGGCTCTCCGTCTGTGGAATGCTCTCCCCAGGGAAGTTCGCTTGGTGCCTTCATTACACACCTTTAGGCACCAGGCAAAAACGTTCCTTTTTAACCAGGCCTTTGGTTAATTTGATTGACATCCTATGCCCTTTTAAAATGTGAGGGGTTTTTTTTGAGGGGGGGGGAGTGTTATAGGGTTGTTGTTGTTTTTATTTTGATTATGTATTTTGTGGTTATATACCGTATTTTTCCATCTATAAGACGCCCCCAAGAAAACACCCCTCAGCACTACCCGTGTATAAGACAAGCCCCAATTTTAAACCTAATTTTTTGGTTTAAAAAAAACCCTAGTCTTATAGACAGAAAAATATGGTAGTTTTTATTTTATTCTGTGAACCGCCCTGAGACCTGCGGGTATAGGACAGTATATAAATTTAATAATAATAATAATAATAGCTACATTAAGCATGTTCCTACAATATAGTTTCTTCCACCCAACACCTCCCCGTCCTTCTGTTTGTGATGTCACATTGCTCTTGTGATGTCTGGAATTCATAGCAAGGGCTGGAAAAAGCCTCTGGCACAGAAAGAGAAACAAACATGTTTGCTGTGCTCCACTGGGTGGTAGCTACATTCCTAACAAACCTTTTTGAACAGGAAAAGAGGAATAAATATGCCTGTGAAGACCTCTCCTCCAAACTTGCTGCCACTCCCCATGAACCAGAAAGCAAGTAAGAGAATCTTCGGTTCAGGCACCAGGTGGGTGACAAGATCTAAGCTGAACTTGCCACCACTGGTCATTTATCAGAAATTAAGCAGCTGCGATAAGGAGGAAGACATATGTCAGGTGTTCCAAAAGCTTTCCGCACTTTGTGGCAATTTGCAAGACCCTCTGAGAGAGCTGCTTCTTCGGTGTGCTTATGAAGACCAGGAAAAAAGTACGTGCAGACTATTTTTGGCATCACTGGAAATAAGAGCTGCTGGTCCTAATGTCCGCACGCCAGGCTGTTTTTAAGGGAAAAGGTTAAGGAGTGGGTTTAAAGAAGAGGAATATGAAAATATTTACTGAAATGAAAACTTGGAGATATATAACTGTCAGTATTACTAAAATGGGAACAGAGATTGACAGTGTTTAAATAGCCTTTGGACAGGAAAGGTAGGAAGCTTAGAACTAAACAATATTTATTACCTAAATACGAGACCTTTAGGTTGAAGGGGATGCATGCCACAGGCAAATATTATTAAACCACATTTCCACATATTAATATAGCAATTATGTGGCTGGTTCAGAAAATGAACGCCTAGAGTCACAATTTCTTAGCAGCTACAGCCTGAAACGGTGTGTCTGCTCTTTCACAAGGCAGAGGATAATGAAGGCCAGAAATGGCTTTAATAGTACTTTGCAGAAGATTAAAGAAGTGTCTGAAGTGGGATAAAGAAAGGATTGTATTTCAATAAAATTAATCCTCCCTAGATAAAGAAAACTTCAACACTGTCCATCTGGAAAAAATCAATTCATTATTTTGGGAGACAGGCATGTTTAATTTGCTGGAGACTTTATGAGGTAACATACAGAAGGGTGGGGGGCGGGATGAAAAGAGATTGAAAATGAAATCTCGCATATTCCTGGACAGAAAAACAAATAACAAGAAGCATTCAAGCTGTGCAGCTTTGATTTAAACAATGTTCATGGTAGCTTGCCATGATAATTCCTTCCCCATTATGATATTTGTTAAGTTAAAAGATATATTGCCTTCCCATCCCTCCCCAATATAAAATATGCACCACCTCCAAAAGTACTATCACATCATTATAAGCATTTTGCTACCCTAAGACAATGGTCTTGTCTATTTTTGCTTCTAATCCTATATACACTTCCCTGGGAGCCACTGAAATCAACAAGGCTTATTTTTGGATAAATTTCCATAAGATTCAACTGTAAGTCATTTTACCCAATAACAGTGCTAGATGCTTCTTTCACATTTATAATAGGTGGTCTTTAAAATTTAAAACAGCTTAAAAATACAAAACCATACAATTTAATGACAACTTACAATGAAACAGAATTTTACTGCAAAGCAGTGAGCCTGCATAAACCTACTGCCACAGTTCAGTGCAGTTGTGCAATGAAAGTCAAAAGAACCCCATGAATGAGGTGGAAAACAGTTTCATTTGAATTCATCATCTGCTTTGTGGGCCATAAGGAAGGGTCAAATGCAGGCTATCAACTATAGCGTCCAAGTCAGTACAGATCCAATCAATTTTGCAAGCATAGTGCTGAGCAAATTGTTCGCGGTGGGCAGTTGAGTAGTCTAAATCAGGCTTCCTTAAGGCCTCCAGATGTTTTGAGACTACAATTCCCATCATCCCTGACCACTGGTCCTGCTAGCTAGGGATCATGGGAGTTGTAGGTAAAAAACATCTAGAGGGCCAAGGTAGAGGAAGCCTGGTCAAAATTCTCCTAATGTGGGCCGGACAGCTCCTTGCTGATGCAATGGAGGCAGAGAAAAAGAAGAAGAGTTTGGATTTGATATCCCGCTTTATCACTACCCGAAGGAGTCTCAAAGCGGCTAACATTCTCCTTTCCCTTCCTCCCCCACAACAAACACTCTGTGAGGTGAGTGGGGCTGAGAGACTTCAAAGAAGTGTGACTAGCCCAAGGTCACCCAGCAGCTGCATGTGGCGGAGCGGAGACAGAACTCTCTGGGACACCACACCAATATATGTGTCCATACCCTCCAACATTTCTCTGATGAAAATAGGGATGTCCTATTCATCATCATCAACAATAATAAACAAAAAAAATTCCTTCCAGTAGCACCTTAAAGACCAACTAAGTTAGTTCTTGGTATGAGCTTTCGTGTGCATGCACACTTCTTCAGTGGGTATCTGAAGAAGTGTGCATGCACACGAAAGCTCATACCAAGAACTAACTTAGTTGGTCTTTAAGGTGCTACTGGAAGGATTTTTTTTTTGTTTTGACTATGGCAGACCAACACGGCTACCTATCTGTAACTGGAACAATAATAAATTCATTGATAACCTGCCCATCTGACTGGGTTGCCCCAGCCACTCATAATAAAACATTAAACATTAAAAAAGAACTTCCTTATACAGGGCTGTCTTCAGATGTGTTCTAAAGGTTGTATAGTTACTTATATCCTTGGCTCAGGGGTCGCATAACTCCATACCCTCCAACATTTCTCTGATGAAAATACGGACGTCCTAAGGACAAGCAGGACATTCCAGGATTAAATTAGAAACTGGGATGGCTTCTGTAAATCTGGGTCTCTCCCTGGAAACAAGGGACATTTGGACGGTCTGTGTGTCCTCCTTCTCCACTTCCTGATTCTGGAACCATGAGAAGAGCCTTGGCACCCTTTTGTTGCTGCATGTGGCAAAAAGATCAACCTCTGGTATCTCCCAACACCATGTGACCCGCTGGAAGGTCTGGGGGTTCAGAGACCATTCTCCTGATCAGATGAAGTTAGTTGCTGTTATAGGTACAGCAGCAGGAGCAGTAAAATAATATAAAATAAAATAAAAATGCAACAAACCCCATTCTAATACTGTAAACAATAAACAATTCTTGTTTTCCACCCCTCCCTCTTCAGGTTACAAGGTCTCCTACTTTGACACGTTCGAAACAGCTAGTGACCTACTGCAAGGGGCATACTGTTCACCAGAGCCAGATCACATGCCCCTAACAAAAAGATTTCTTTCCAACAAGATTGCCAAGGAACACAAAGCCTTTGGAGTGTACAGACACGATGCTCCACTGGCAACCATAATTGCAAGGTAGGATATTATACAAAAGTGTTTCTTTTTTCTTTTTGAATGCACCTATTGTAGAACTTGGGACGTGGGTGGCGCTGTGGGTTAAAGCCTCAGCGCCTAGGACTTGCCGATCGAAAGGTCGGCAGTTCAAATCCCCGCGGCGGGGTGCGCTCCCGCTGCTCGGTCCCAGCGCCTGCCAACCTAGCAGTTCGAAAGCACCCCTGGGTGCAAGTAGATAAATAGGGACCGCTTACCAGCGGGAAGGTAAACGGCGTTCCGTGTGCTGCACTGGCTCGCCAGATGCAGCTTGTCACGCTGGCCACGTGACCCGGAAGTGTCTGCGGACAGCGCTGGCCCCCGGCCTATAGAGTGAGATGGGCGCACAACCCTAGAGTCTGTCAAGACTGGCCCGTATGGGCAGGGGTACCTTTACCTTATTGTAGAACTTATTTTTTGTTTAGGGATACTTGTATCCTCTACTTTCTTTCTTTTTGTGGGGGAAATGTTCCCCACCCCAAATCTCTAATAATATAGGTGCACACTCAGTTTCTAGCTAGAAAGCCCATCACATTGCATAAACACAAAGGTTTCCCTGCCACCAGATCTCCTGATGTGGAGACTGCAATGGAAAGGTGACTGTATCCCCACTGCCTGCTTCCCCCTTGGAACAGAACAACGAAGTTATTCCAGGATTATTTTGCTATATGGCCACAGTTCATTCTCGTTTTGCTGCTTCTCCAGTGACCAAAGGCTATGTCGATACAGGGTTTATAAACACATAACATCTATCAGTACACCAAGAGGTGTTTATGGCTTTAACTGTCTGGAAGACGTATGCAACAAGGCGATTAAAATGGAGTGCTCCGATTTTTTAATGGTTGGGACATAAAGACGAGGAATTTCTGCAAGCATTTGCATGTCAGTAGGATCGCACCTGGAAATGAACACTGTTGCACTATTGCAATCGAGAGCACAAACCCTTTAAAAAAAAAGACGAGACTGCTGATCAGCTATTTAGCAAGGAAAGAGTAAGGGAGTCAAATCTAGCCCCATTCCCTTCTTGACCAGCTTCTCTATCTGCAGCTTGTTCGCCAGCTAGAAATAAGTAAGAAAAATAAGCTAGGGTTTGTGGTGGATGATGCCACAATCATAAACTAGGGTTTGTGGCAAATGGCGTCACATGCTTCAGTGCCACCCCTGAAGGATAGTGGTTGCCCTGATCTGTTTTTCCCTCGACTTGTTGCCTCCAGCATATGTATCACTGAGGGCAAGGGGAGTTGGATTCCCACTGCTTTATGGTGGTCGCCCTGGGAGGAGGAACAGCCAGCGGAATTCCAAATCTCTTGCACAACTTCAGCCTCTCTCTCCACCTGCTCCCCCAGGCAATTTAACAACTAATAAAGGGTAAAGGGACCCCTGACCATTAGGTCCAGTCGTGGCTGACTCTGGGGTTGCAGCGCTCATCTCACTTTATTGGCCGAGGGAGCCGGCGTACAGCTTCCGGGTCATGTGGCCAGCATGACTAAGCCGCTTCTGGTGAGCCAGAACAGCGTACGGAAACGCCATTTACCTTCCCGCCAGAGTGGTACCTATTTATCTACTTGCACTTCATGCTTTTGAACTGTTAGGTTGGCAGGAGCAGGGACCGTGCAACGGGAGCTCACCCCATCGCGGGGATTCGAACTGCCAACCTTCTGATCGGCAAGCCTTAGGCTCTGTGGTTTAACCCACAGCGCCACCCACATCCCTTTAACAACTAGTAGCATTGTCCAAACAAGAGAGGGCTACCAGCCCTTGAGTGTGTCCCAAAACCAATGTGACCCATAAATCCAATTGAGCAGCTTATTCCAAGGAGCACATGCAATAGGGAAAGGAGTAGAAATCGCATGCATGCAGATCAAAAGGTATTGCACTAGGCAAAACATAACGGAACACACCTAATTCTCAATAGTCTCCTCGGGCGCTGGCAGCTTCTGGCATCATTGCCAGTTGAGGGGCTCAAGAGGGACAACTGTTACGGGGACCCTATTGATATTTAAGGCCTCTTGTGCTCAGGTGGCTTTGAGTGACAGGTTGCTAAATCCAGCCAATCCGATGATGGCCACGTATTTCAGGGAAGGGATCTTAACACCTTTGGGAAATTGGGAGATGGAGTTGTGGTCCAAGTGCTTCAACAGCAACCTTTCCTTCTGTGTGTGCTTTGGGATGTTGGCAGGAACAACATGACCTTTCTGCCTGGGCATTATGGAGGATGAGAGACAATGGGCAATCTTAAAGTGAGAGGAGGAGGCGAGAGTTGCAGCAAAAGTCTGTGTGCAGTTGCAACAAATAATTTCTGTACTGAGTCCACAGGCAAAAGAATGTCAGAGAGATGTTGCTTCATTGATACCACTATCTGATTTGTTCATTTAGGAGAGTGACAGAGACAGAACCACTTATTTATTTTGCTTCTTTTCACATTACAAACCCGTTCATTTTTGTCCCATATTGGTCTTGTTACTGGTTCTGCTCCTACTAGCACCTTAAAAAGGTAAAGGTAAAGGGACCCCTGACCATTAGGTCCAGTCGTGACCGACTCTGAGGTTGCGGCGCTCATCTCGGTTTACTGGCCGAGGGAGCCAGCGTACAGCTTCCGGGTCATGTGGCCAGCATGACTAAGCCGCTTCTGGCGAACCAGAGCAGCGCACGGAAATGCCGTTTACCTTCCCGCTAGAGTGGTACCTAATTATCTACTTGCACTTTCGAACTGCTAGGTTGGCAGGAGCAGGGACCAAGCAACGGGAGCTCACCCCATTGCGGGGATTCAAACCGCCAACCTTCTGATCAGCAAGTCCTAGGCTCTGTGGTTTAACCCACAGCGCCACCAGAGTCCCTTAAACTCACAGAAATTTGACAAAGCAGAGCAGCTATGAAAATATTTAGGAAAAGTTTCACCTGGTCTCTACACCAGAAAAAGCTTTACTTGTTCACTTATCTTTATTTGTATATCAAGCTGCTGTAAAAGGCACATGAACAGGGTCAGTAAAAACTTGGCCATCTGCCACAATAATCCTTTCTTACAGAAAAAAAAAATGTGTTTTACCCATTGTTTTCACACCACCTTTCAAAGAATCAGGGGCGAATGCTATTAGCATATTTTCCTCTGTTTCCTCCCAACCAAGAAATAAGGATCAGAAACTCAGCTTATTCTGGCTTGCTTCTAATATTTGGGTTATTTCTGTAGTAGATGCTCTTGTTCCTGAAGGGAACTTACTGTCTCTTATGTTCTTAAATGCTATAAATTTAGGATTTGGCCCAGTCACAGGGTATGAAAAACTTATACCTTCAGCTGAAGGTACTTGTCTGGCAGATAGTTAAAATTCCTTTTGTTAAAACTCTGAAAAGTATCTCTACCTGTGAAAATTTGAGACTCCAAAATATGAAAAGTTAAAACAAATGGCCAGGAAAAAATCAGGCCACACTTTCTTATGCAATGTTCTCTCCGGAGCAGAACACCGTGTGCAATTTATACTTGTCAAAACACTGAAAGTTGTGGAACAAAATAATATCCCAACTACCACACTCTAGGGTATTTTTTTTCTCGTTACACAAAAAGAACAATTGGTCTCAACTGAGGTGTAGTTTTATGAGTGGGGCGCCATATCCAATGGAATGGCTAACAGCACATGTGGCTCTAAGTATCTGTTCTATGCCAAGGGGTGGGGGGAAGTCTGCTACACTAAGAAATGCGGGTAAACTCCCATCAGCCCCAGGCAGAATGGCAAATGTCAGGGATGATTGGAGCTGTAGTCTCACAACATCTGGAGGACCACAGGTTCTCCCATCCCAGTTCTAAGCCAATCCAATTGTGCCTTCCGCTTGTATCAGGGTTTCCCAAACTTGGGTCGCCAGCTGTTTCTGGACTACAACTCCCATCATCCCTAGCTAACAGGACCAGTGGTCAGGGATGATGGGAACTGTTGTCCAAAAACTGCTGGAGAATCGCCGACTTGGATTATTCTCTGTTTTGTCGTATATAGTATGGCAGGTGTGGGAGCAGAAAAATGATTTTGCTTATCCCTATGCTAGGTTTCCCCCCCACCCAACTGCAAACTAAAAGCCAATCTTCATCATCTTGGCTGTAATATCTGCTGAACCAGTTGCAACTCCTGCAGTGCAAACCAGGAGTGTTTACAGAATGAAACTCTTCACCTAAACCTTTTCCATCTTCCTCTTCTCCTCCATCTCCCTCCCTCCCCCCGCCCCTTACACACACACATTTCCCATTGGCTTTTGTTGTTTAAAACAACCAAAGCCTTATTTTCCCAGCTTTACAGTGAGAGATGTTTCTATTTGTCCTGGAATTAAATTTAAAGACCAAAGATGGACACAAATGCCTGCCGCGGTTTGCAAAAGGACTGTATTAACCCACGACACTGAGAGAGTGTCACATAACATAGCAAAACACAAAGAACTGTTATAAGGTTCCAAAGTATTTGTAAGCAAATGTTTTAATTCAATTTTTCCGCTAACACGAATGCTACGTTCTCTCCCCCCTGCTTCGCAATAGATGGACACCAAATAGCATGTCGGCCCACTATGACAGACAATCAGTTATTCAAGAGCTTAAAAAGTTTGGGGACATTGAATCAGTGACCCCTTTCGGAAGACAAACAGTCATCGTCGTATTCAGAGAAATCCGCTCTGCATGCAAAGCAGTGAGCGCTTTCCCACCTGAGTGCCCAGAGGGAGGAATACGATGTTTCTGGCACCACAAATTCATGTCCAAATACAAAAGACGGAAATTCCCAAAAATGAGAAGCTTGACAACATTAGGAGCGAAGGTGCCACCTGCACGTTAAAGGGATTACGCTCGTCCCTGTTAAGGCACAACGTGGATATGTATTCAAAGGATTTGTTGAATGAAATTTAAGTCTTCTGGTAAGAGGAACGGAACTATTCTACAGACATTTCTTTCTGCGCAGTTGGCAAGAGATCAGAGCTTGGACTTCTGAAAGAAGCTCATTATGGCGTTCATGCACTCATCGGACAGCCATCTTCCTTTGAGACATTCGCACTCTTGGGAGTTAACTTCATGGAGCTTCTCCTTCTCCATGCTTCGCATCAACTGCTTGGAGAGTGCCAAACTCTGGAGAGAGAAATAAATAAATAAAAATTCCATCGTTAAGTGTGGAATGTGCAATTCCAAGCCACAAAATCCCAAATCTGGCTGGTAATACAAATTTGGGGGTTGGGATGGGTGCAGGGTACAATGGATTAGTGTGAAGGGGGCTCCTATATTTCTCTCTACCCAACAGCAGCTTTCCCCTGAAAGAAGCTGGTGGATAAAAAGGGTTGATTGCTTCCCTCCCAGTGCCTCCAAGTTAAGGTCACCCGGCAAACCTGTGTTAGGATCACACGTTTGCTGAGGTTCTAACCTAAGGCTGCAGGCATAATGTAGCAAAAAGGTTGCACACGAGAATGGAAATGGTTTATTGAATATTTACAGATAAACCGTAAACAGATAAGAACATTAGCAGGATTATTGTAATAACCTGCTGTTCAATAAGAGCCAATATTTAAATTAGATGAATAAATGAGCAAACTAAATTAATCTGGATATGCAGAAGGTATTAAAAATAAATTTAAGGAACCGCAGAAAGAGGGGGAAGGACGTCAAGTTTTGAAATGTTAAAATGATTGTAAAATTAGTGAAATTGAAATGTATAAACCTGAAAAGTGTGTGTGTGTGTGTGTGTGTGTGTGTATGTGTGTATAAGTTTGTGCTTTAAGCAGATTATAGTGCAGCACGAAAAAACAGCACAGGAAATTCTCTTCTGTTTAAACAGGACCAAGACTATCTCCACGAGTGACTTTGTTAGCATAAACAAGATGAAAAGCAGGTAAGATTGATAATGCTGGTCTCGCCATGCTTTTCTGCTTGTAATAATTTCCACTGAGCGGTCCTGCAGATTTTGCACAGTACAGAAAGCTCACCAGAGTTAAACCTGCCGAACGGCATTTAGTGTCAATGGTATCCTCAGTAAGAAACCAATACCCTGAATCTACAAACAGATGGAAGAAGAACTTCATAGATGGTACTATTAGTTGGAGTCAAACAGATCTGTCAGTGTCTGATGGTTTCTGGATTGGTTGGAGACAGAGAAATATGCAAACGAGGATAATATCCAAAATCACCGCTTACATCAATACTTGTTAAAACTGACTCTGCTATAAGTGGGCCATTTTGAAGTTGCTGTTACTGTATACATTTTTCTTCTAGAACTCCCAAAGCAGAGAGAAAATAATATGGCTTAAGGGAATTTTTTTTAAAAAAAGAAAAGTGGGAAATAAGACACGTTCAGGCTATTTTTTCCTGATCCGATTCTTTTATTCTGAGCACTTAATCCCCAGATGAACTAAGCACATGCATTTCACACTGAAGCGCAATGTTGTGTAGTTCGTACTTTCACATTTTGAGAGGATTTTAACCCTATGAATTAGAAAACTAAATCAATAAGGCTATAAAAATTGCCCTCTGTGACAAGAGAAAGATGTTAAGGACCACTAAAGTTTTTCTAAGTGATGTAGCCAATCAATAGATCATAGAAAGGCAGGTGAAGCTGACAGATGAAAGCCAGAGTTTAATAATTACTGTTGTCTCTCCACTGCCTGACAGAAGGCCCACCAAAAAAAAAACTCACAAAGGATTTGAAAAGGTCAAAGATAGACATGTGTCTGAAAGAACAGCCCCCATCCACCTACCCCAAAAATTATCAATAAAAGGCCAAAAGGGAAAGAAAACAACAAACACAAAGCCAAACATTCCAGCCATGTGAATATTATTTTTTTACATCACTGTAAAACATTAGCAGGCCTTTAGAGATGTTTCAGGATTTTATGGGCAAGTTTTCTCAGAATATAGTTTTTTTGGGGTCAAATTTTAAATATGCTTATTAATTATTACATTTCAATATTTAGGTCAAAGTCCAAGTGTTAGCTGAAATCCTTTTTTCCTTCTTACTCCCTTAATATGAGTAGATTTATGTTGTTTTCCCCCTGAATAAATATTTCTTTGGAGCAACATAAATCTTTTGCCACACGCATAGCCTTGAGGAGGTCAAGGTCAAATTACATTGAAAGTTATTTATAACTTATTTATTAAAAGATTTATAGCCCGCCTTTCATTATTATTTCCCACATTTCTGGACAGAGTAATGTTGGATCTATGAAAGTCCTAAGTGGTAGGTTGGAAAACTATCTGAATTAAATATCTGAATTAAACTATCTGAATTAAATATCAAAGCTGTACATCGGCTGGCCTCAAAAAAACTCCTTTGTGCATTTCCAACAGCTGTTTTGCAGATGCATGTAAATAAAAAGGCAGAGCAGAGACAACAGCAGAAAAGCCATTATTTGCTCAGTCTCAATTTCCCTATTTAAAACAGAAACAATACTAACCTCCAAGCATGATTTGCTCACTACCATGAGCTTAAGATTAGTTTATCTACAAGCAAGACCTGCAACAAAATGTTACAGTGTGGAGCGATTTCCTGTTCAGTCCTCCAACCAGCCATGCTTATTTCAGGATATTCCATTCAAATTCCTCCTTCCCGGATGCCCATCCTTGCCACCAATAGCCACTCAGCATTCTGAAACTGTTGATGTTTTGGGGTTTCTCCCTTAGGGCTTTCCCCTAAAGCTTTTGTTTCTAATTCCTGCAAACATTGGGGCTCACCCAAGCACACACCCCAATACCATCCTCTTGTGCACAGATAGCACCATGTTAGCTACACAAGAACTGGCACCTGGAGAACGGAAATCGCTAGTGGAGTTATGTATGAAATACGGCCAGGCGCCAGAAGCAAGCTATGTTGGCATCCATGCAGCCAAAACCTAAGAAATGCACAATGGAACTACTTTGGAGCTAAAGGTTCTGGGAACGGTAGCTCTCCTGTGGTTGTGGAATGTGTTAGAAGAAAGATGAGCAAACCCGTATGTTTACAGCCTGGAAAATAAGCGTTTTATTTTTTAAAAAAAACCTAACATTTTTGGGAAGGCTTCCGTAAGCTTTCAGCCGTGCCCACACTTCCTTCTGGAAAACCTGGTCAGGGAAAACCTCTGTCACAAGCCCTTGCGAACAGGCTTCCGCTGCGGTCAGCTTCTTGTTGAAAAGCAGCATCTCAGTGGCCTGAAAGAAAGGAAAACAAGAAAACGATTACTTGGGCAAAATGCCAGTGGCAAACAGAAGCAATAAATAAAACTGTCAGTCCCAGCTTGTTCTTTCTCTGCCGTCTGCTAACCTTTGTGCTTTGTTAAATACACAATAGCGCACTGGTAGAGTACATGCAGTGGGATGCGGGTGGCGCTGTGGGTTAAACCACAGAGCCTAGGACTTGCCGATCAGAAGGTCAGCAGTTCAAATCCCCGCAACGGGGTGAGCTCCCGTTGCTCGGTCCCTGCTCCTGCCAACCTAGCAGTGCGAAAGCACGTCAAAGTGCAAGTAGATAAATAGGTACCACTCCGGCGGGAAGGTAAACAGCGTTTCCGTGCACTGCTCTGGTTCACCAGAAGCGGCTTAGTCATGCTGGCCACATGACCTGGAAGCTGTACGCCGGCTCCCTCGGCCAATAAAGCGAGATGAGCGCCGCAACCCGAGTCAGCCACGACTGAACCTAATGGTCATGGGTCGTGGCTTTACCTTTACCTTTAGAGTACATGCATTGGATCCCAAGCTCAGTCCCTGCCACCTCCAGTAATACAGTCAAACCTTGATTGTCGAACGTAAACCACTTCTGAAGCCCGTTCGGCTTCCAAAACTGAGGCGTGGCTTCCGATTCATTGCGGGAGCTTCCTGCACTCAAGCAGAAGCTGTGTCGGATGTTCGGCTTCCAAAAAACATCCAAAAACCGGAACATTTACTTCCGGGTTTTTGGCGTTCAGGAGCCGAAACGTTCCTAAACGGAGGCATTCGGGTGATGGGAATGACTCATCCTGAAAGGGAAAGAGCTCACCTGAGACTCTCCAGTCAGCTACTGCCAGTCAATTCTTGGCTAGCATGTTCAATGGTCTGGCACTATTCCTAACCTTCGTGTGATCAGTGGGAAGGAGTACAGGAGGCTCCCAAGTGTGCTCAGTCCCAGAGATGAGGGTGGTGGCGACAGCGTGTGTGGCTTTTCAGCCCCCGCGCAAGTTGTTTAACTCCTTGAATAGGGCTCAGTGGCTACCTGAGCGAAGCGCAGAAGGCACTTCTCTCAAAACAACCCTCAAAAAGACAAAAATGTATCTCTCTTACCTTGGATACGCCCATAATTTTTGGAAACGTGTATGAGGAACATCCTTCCGGACTCTGGCCCAGCTTGCTAAAGGGGGTGTGAAATGTCGCCTGTGAAGGAAAAAGACTCTTGCTTTAGAATGCTGTCACTTTCAAATAGCATACAATATCTAGCCATCCTTTTATATCCTGAATTAGAATAATAGAATTGCAGAGTTGGAAGGGGTCCAACCCCCAGCAATGCAGGAATCTCAGCTAAAGCATCCATGACAGATGGCCATGCGTCCTCTGCTTAAACATCTCCAAGGAAGGAGAGTCCACAACTTCCTATGGGAGTCCATTCCGCTGTCAAACAGTTCTTACTGTAGAAAGTTCTTGTTGATGTTTAATCGGAATCTGCTTTCTTGTAACTTGAAGCCTCCAGAGCAGAAGAAAGCAAGCTTGCTCCCTCTTCCATGTGACAGCCCTTGAGATATCTGATGATGGCTATCATATCTCCTCTCAGCCTCCTATTTTCCAGGCTAAACATACTCAACTCCCTCATAAAGCTTTAGCTTCCAGACCCTTGGTTGCCCTCCTCTGCACACATTCCAGCTTGTCAATATCCCTTTTAAA